AAGAGGAAACTGGAGGACGAGTGTTCAGAGCTCAAGAAAGACATTGACGACCTTGAGCTGACCCTGGCCAAGGTTGAAAAGGAGAAGCATGCCACAGAGAACAAGGTACAATCATGATCCATTTTAGAGTGTTTACAAGTGACTAAATTGTTACTGAAGTATTTTAATTAAAAGTTTAATCCTAAAGTTACTGAATTATGAAAGGAAAATACTGTCATATTTATGTCATCTCTTCAGTCGTCACTATTTCTATTTACCTTGACCTTTATCCCCCATACTTTTCAGTGAAGTGGGCCTGGCTTAGCTTATCTCCATTTTCCATCTCAGGCCGACACTGTCCTAAGCTTGTTTCTCATCAAGATGACGCATATCATTAACATTTCTATAATCTGCTCAAATCTAAGGTGAAAAACCTCACAGAAGAGATGGCAGGCCTGGATGAAACCATCGCAAAGCTAACCAAGGAAAAGAAGGCCCTCCAAGAGGCCCATCAGCAGACCCTGGATGACCTGCAGGCAGAAGAAGACAAAGTCAACACCCTGACCAAAGCTAAAACCAAACTAGAGCAGCAAGTAGATGACGTAAGTGTGAAAAACACAGTATTTCCTCTCAATATAAAATAAACAGTTATGACATGCAACTGTCAATAATGCTCAGAAGCCTTTCACTGTGGCTTTGCAAATAATAATTAAAATTCCCATGCTATTTGGTGTATTTTTAAAAATTCTCCTGTGTATCTTTGATGGCTAGTAACATATGGCTCAGTGCCTTAGGACTGAAATAAATAAAATCCACTATATATTTAGCTTGAAGGATCTCTGGAACAAGAAAAGAAACTCCGCATGGAGCTAGAAAGAGCCAAGAGGAAACTAGAGGGAGACCTAAAGTTGGCCCAAGAATCCACGATGGATGTAGAAAATGACAAGCAGCAACTCGATGAGAAATTCAAAAAGTGAGTAACCTGCTTGTTACCTGTCAATTCAGGTGAAACAGATGTTTTAAAGCTCTCTAAAATACTACTTCAGAGCACACAGGAAAAAAAATGACATCTTTGACTTTTTTATTTAATGAAAATGGTACGTTACTAACTTGTAAAAACAGGTACTACTCATGTCCTCAACACAGCAGTATAAAGACATTCCAACATACATGGGAAAGAAAACTGGTAAGAGGATTGATGGAGAGCTTATGTGTTGCTCCTCTAACAGGAAAGAGTTTGAAATGAGCAATCTGCAAAGCAAGATTGAAGATGAGCAGGCCCTCGCAATGCAGCTACAGAAGAAGATCAAGGAGTTACAGGTGAGTCGGACCCCCCACCTCTTCTGCACATTCCTGGAATAAAATCTGCCATGAGTTGGCATTCACGTTGATGTGTCACCCCCAGGCCCGCCTCGAGGAGCTGGAGGAGGAAATCGAGGCAGAGCGGGCCTCCCGGGCCAAAGCAGAGAAGCAGCGCTCTGACCTCTCCCGGGAACTGGAAGAGATCAG